CGCTTGTGTTTTCTCTATAGCGTTCTTGTCAGATAGATACATACATAGACAGCGAAAGTATTTTATACGAGATAAATGGCCCGTTGAGGAAGGATACAACGGGCGCTAGGTTGGTAGAGTTGTCTCTTTTCTCTAAACTAAAACCAAATCCAAAATCACCACCTTAATTTCAAATTGAACCGAAGACGAAAAATTACATTGAAAACGGATTTTAATTCAGAGTCGGCATTTTAATCGGATTTAAGCTTAATCTACACGTAGTTACCGCAAATTGATACTGAATATTGTCGTAGCCATACCCTAAACCGTGCACCTAATCTAAATCATGACAAAAGTCGCATTTAGAGTTTCCTTCAGGCGACTCTACTTGTGGGTTGGGAACTCCCTCTCCGGAGAGGAAAATGTCTGAAAGAAACACTGGTCGCATTAGTAGATCATACAAACTAAAGTTAGAGCTTGGGAGGGGCTTCGCCCCTATCCGCCGAAGAGATGCATGAAAGAAACTGTGCACGTAAAACACTTTTTAGAATAGAAAGCTTCAAGTACCCTTCCTCAGGGGAGGAAAAAGTCTGAAAGAAACACTATTCGCACTTGCCGGCGGGCGGGGGCTTCTCCCCTTACCCGAAGAATAGCATGAAAGAAACTCTGCACGCAAACCGCTTTTAAGATTAGACAAAATTGGCTTGTTAAATCAATGTTTACTCGAGAATCAATGACGTCATATTACTGTGTGCACTCTCCGGCTGTAGACTATTTTCTACTATATGCTACATGTGACGTCACGTTTCATTTTTCGAATTACTATGCATGTTTTTTCTCTGCTTGTGTTTTCTCTATAGCGTTCTTGACAGATAGATAGATAGATTGACAGATAGATAGATAGACAGCGAAACTATTATATATATATATATATATATATATATATATATATATATATATATATATATATATATATATATATATATATATATATATATATATATATATATATATATATATATATGGAGAACAGCTTGTATTTACGTCACAATCGTGTTGTGTTGGCAACTAATCGATACGCTTAAATCGTACAATGCTCGTAGTAAGTCTATTTTTAGAATTTATTGTAATTTTCCTCTGCGACACCCGCACGAAGGTATTTGGGAGTGTGGTGGGAGTGTGGTGGGAGTGTGGTGAGAGTGAGGTGAGAGTGTGGTTAGAACAATGTTAGTGAATAGAAGCCAGAACTCTATCAGCGTGTGTGTGAGTACATGTTAGAACTCTGTCCTTGTATTCAGAATGTACAGATAAAAGATAAAAAAAATGTCATACATTGTTCTTAAGGTTTAAGCAGCATTCAAATGTTTTCAAATTTTGTATATTATTTTTCTTGGATAGATTTATGTTCAATTCAAAAACACAGTCTAGCCTTGACAAAGAAGTGAATAGTATAACGATCTAATAGTAAAACTGATGGTGTTGGGTTTATGTTTGTCCAAACGTAAAACTGATGGTGTATGGTTTACTTTTGTCCAAACGTAAAAATGATGTTGTATGGTTTACGTTTGTCCAAGCGTAAAAATGATGGTGTATGGTTTACTTTTGTCCAAACGTAAAAATGATGTTGTATGGTTTACGTTTGTCCAAACGTAAAACTGATGGTGTATGGTTTACGTTTGTCCAAACGTAAAAATGATGGTGTATGGTTTACGTTTGTCCAAACGTAAAACTGATTGTGTAGGGTTTACGTTTGTCCAACAGATAAAATAACCACTCAAATGTGAGAGATAACTTGGCGAGGAGAAGGGGGGGGGGGGGGCAGTGACACGCTCAGAGCAAGAACTGATAGAGGATCGATATTTTGCCGGAGTGAGCGATTGAATGGCCCACTGAGTGCTAGGTGTGTGTGCGTGTGGCTGATGACTCATCGAATGCAACATAAGACAGCTCCTCGTATGGTACACAGATAACCCGACCTACAAGTTTGTGGCGCGTGTTGTCACGTTGTATGGCGGGTTGTCACGTTGTATGGTGGGTTGTCACGTTGTATGGTGGGTTGTCACGTTGTATGGTGGGTTGTCACGTTGTATGGTGGGTTGTCACATCGAATAGACTAGATTTGGTGTTATGCTTTAATTAAACACGCAGGTTAGAATAGGAAAAACAAAACTTATAACGGGGGAAAAATTCTCAAATTTAAACACAAACTTACTTTATGGACTGGATGAGATATCTAGAGTTTAATTGTTCTGTAGTAGAAGTAGTATGTCTACTCAACATCAACTAGAATATATTTTGGTCTGTAGTAATTACGTCTATGTGACGTATTTCTTAGTAAACGCATATCTAACTCAGCCTCTAGTACACAATCTCTAACTCAGCCTCCAGTACACAATCTCTAAGTCGGCCTCTAGTACACAATCTCTAAGTCGGCCTCTAGTACACAATCTCTAAGTCGGCCTTTAGTACACAATCTCCGTATTGTATGAACATCCAAACTCTAGAAAGCACACCGTTAACAAGGTCAGATATTTTGAATCAGACAGAACAGCTAATCAATACGGCCAGGAAGGTGTTTCTACCGGCTATGGCATGGCGCATGCGCAGCTGAATAGGGACCAGGGGTCTAGCAGAGAAAAAAATGGAGGCGGGATCAGACAGAGAACAATCTAGGGATCGGACAGAGAACGATCTAGGGATCTATTAGGCAGAGAACAATCTAGGGATCAGGCAGAGAACAATCTAGTGATCTATCAGGCAGAGAACAATCTAGGGATCAGGCAGAAAACAATCTAGGGATCGGGTAGAGAACAATCTAGGGATCAGGCAGAGAACAATCTAGGGATCAGGCAGAAAACAATCTAGGGATCGGGTAGAGAACAATCTAGGGATCAGGTAGAGAACAATCTAGGGATCAGGCAGAAAACAATCTAGGGATCGGGCAGAGAACAATCTAGGGATCAGGCAGAAAACAATCTAGGGATCAGGTAGAGAACAATCTAGGGATCAGGCAGAAAACAATCTAGGGATCTATTAGGTAGAGAACAATCTAGGGATCTATTAGGCAGAGAACAATCTAGGGATCTATCAGGCAGAAAACAATCTAGGGATCGGGTAGAGAACAATCTAGGGATCAGGCAGAGAACAATCTAGGGATCTATCAGGCAGAAAACAATCTAGGGATCAGGCAGAAAACAATCTAGGGATCTATTAGGTAGAGAACAATCTAGGGATCTATCAGGCAGAGAACAATCTAGGGATCAGGTAGAGAACAATCTAGGGATCAGGCAGAAAACAATCTAGGGATCGGGTAGAGAACAATCTAGGGATCAGGCAGAAAACAATCTAGGGATCAGGCAGAGAACAATCTAGGGATCAGGCAGAGAACAATCTAGGGATCAGGCAGAAAACAATCTAGGGATCAGGTAGAGAACAATCTAGGGATCAGGCAGAGAACAATCTAGGGATCAGGTAGAGAACAATCTAGGGATCAGGCAGAGAACAATCTAGGGATCTATTAGGTAGAGAACAATCTAGGGATCAGGCAGAGAACAATCTAGGGATCAGGCAGAGAACAATCTAGGGATCTATTAGGTAGAGAACAATCTAGGGATCAGGCAGAGAACAATCTAGGGATCAGGCAGAGAACAATCTAGGGATCAGGTAGAAAACAATCTAGGGATCTATTAGGTAGAGAACAATCTAGGGATCTATTAGGCAGAGAACAATCTAGGGATCTATTAGGTAGAGAACAATCTAGGGATCAGGTAGAGAACAATCTAGGGATCAGGCAGAAAACAATCTAGGGATCTATTAGGTAGAGAACAATCTAGGGATCAGGTAGAGAACAATCTAGGGATCTATTAGGCATTACGAGAGGCCAGGGTTCCTGCAGACAAAATGGTGGATTGAAAGAAACAAGGATGTCTGAGTTTGTAGCGGGCTGAAAGATTGAGCTTCACACGTCATGTCAACGTTTAATTTGAGAAGTTTTCAAGGAAAAAACAATACATAAAAACGTTTTAATAACAAGCTTTTATGTAATAATGCATTAAAAAGTAGGACATAAATGATTTTCTTTAAATATATAATTATAGACTACTATTTAAATAATTATAAAGAAAAGCGTTGGTCTATTCCTAAATATTACTGAAGGTATCTAATAGATAACATAGTGACTCACGCTATTCTTTAGAGCTATATTTTAAATAGTAGTGTATTATTATTTCTTTAAAGACAATCATTTTTATCTCCTTTGTAGTGCATAATTATATATTAAACATTGATATTAAAGCATTTTTATGCATTTGTTCAATACTTTAAATTTTTTAACACAATAGTGTTTCATGATTAAAAACAATAGCGCACCAAATGAACATGATAATACGCGTATAATAGTGCGGAATAGTATAAGACAACCCTCAGAAAATTTTAACTCATTCATAAAAAAATATTATTCATCCCATTAAATCAAATTAGATGACAAAATTGCATTTTCATCAGGTCTTAACCCACGTGCCCAATTTCAGAGAAATTCGTCTGTTATAAGTGCTGAAATTTCGCTCGCCCGTTTCTATCCCGACAGTTAGAAAGATAGAGAGAGAGATGACGAGGAAAAAAGTTAAATAAACGCTTGTAATAGAAAAAATCTATATCGAATGCCATTAACGTATGACACCAAACAATGTATGACACACAGTGATCGACAGAGTTTCTTCCAGGCATCTCTTCGGGGGGGGGGGGGGGGGGGAACTTAGCCCCCGCCCAAGAAAGTCTACCGCCCTCCCCCCCTCCCCCGAACGAAATGAAATTTATATAGAAAATATATTTTTAATAGTGTCCGCCCCCCCCCCCCCCCCCACCGAAAATTTCAAGTGCCCCCAGAGAAAAAAGTCTGAAAGAAACACTGGTGATAGATGAAACTAGCGTTATATGATAGCACATAAAAACAGTACAGTACGGTACAGTACGGTAGGTACGGTACAGCACGGTACAGACTGGCTGTCATCTTATTTACTTACCTTTAATCTTCCACAACAGAACATTCCGGTTTGCGCTAGAAATTTGAGGTAGATCCGCCAGTGCATGGGACTACGTAGATGTAGGGTGTCTACATAGTTTAGAATTGAGCATTGCGTTATTTACTCCAAACCAATATGGAGGCCATAGGTTTCTCAGATGGTCCATGTCGCTGCTCACTGGCAACTATGAGAGAACTGTCCGAGTTTGATCCAACACTAACAAGTCGCCAACAAAATTCATCTTAAATTGAAAAGGGTTTCCATTGTCTTGATTTTATAATGAAATTAAATTTCAAAATAAACGATAACTGATACAAAATTGAATCATATACTCATAGGATCTGAGAAAAAAGGAAAAAGATGGTTTAAAGATGTATCATAACTTTAACTTTGTATCACCAGCTCTAACCTTGTGTCACCAGCTTAAAACTTGTGTCACAAGCTACAACCTTGTGTCACCAGCTTAAAACTTGTATCACCAGCTCTAACTTTGTGTCACCAGCTCTTTGTGTCACCAGCTACAACTTTGTGTCACCAGCTACAACTTTGTGTCACCAGCTTAAAACTTGTATCACCAGCTCTAACTTTGTGTCACCAGCTCTAACTTTGTGTCACCAGCTCTAACCTTGTGTCACCAGTTCTAACCTTGTATCACCAGCTCTTTGTGTCACCAGCTCTAACCTTGTGTCACCAATTCTAACCTTGTATCACGAGCTCTTTGTGTCACCAGCTCTAACCTTGTGTCACCAGCTCTAACCTTGTGTCACCAGCTACAACTTTGTGTCACCAGCTCTAACTTTGTGTCACCAGCTCTAACCTTGTGTCACCAGCTCTAACCTTGTGTCACCAGCTACAACTTTGTGTCACCAGCTCTAACTTTGTGTCACCAGCTCTAACCTTGTGTCACCAGCTACAACTTTGTGTCACCAGCTCTAACCTTGTGTCACCAGCTACAACTTTGTGTCACCAGCTCTAACCTTGTGTCACCAGCTACAACTTTGTGTCACCAGCTCTAACCTTGTGTCACCAGCTCTAACCTTGTGTCACCAGCTCTAACCTTGTGTCACCAGCTCTAACCTTGTGTCACCAGCTACAACTTTGTGTCACCAGCTTTAACCTTGTGTCACCAGCTCTAACCTTGTGTCACCAGCTACAAATTTGTATCACCAGCTACAAATTTGTATCACCAGCTACAACTTTGTATCACCAGCTACAACTTTGTGTCACCAGCTACAAATTTGTATCACCAGCTACAACTTTGTGTCACCAGCTCTAACCTTGTATCACCAGCTCTAACCTTGTGTCACCAGCTACAAATTTGTATCACCAGCTACAAATTTGTATCACCAGCTACAACTTTGTGTCACCAGCTCTAACCTTGTGTCACCAGCTCTAACCTTGTGAACCATATCTGAGGGTAAAAATGAATGTGGTAATTTAAAGTGGCAGATTGTGTGGCTAAGTGAGTTGGTGAGGTGGGGTGGCTAAGTGAGTTGGTGAGGTGGGGTGGCTAAGTGAGTTGGTGAGGTGGGGTGGCTAAGTGAGTTGGTGAGGTGGGGTGGCTAAGTGAGTTGGTGAGGTGAGTTGAGGTGGCTAAGTGAGTTGGTGAGGTGGGGTTGCTAAGTGAGTTGGTGAGGTGGGGTGGCTAAGTGAGTTGGGGTGGCTAAGTGAGTTGGTGAGGTGAGTTGAGGTGGCTAAGTGAGGTGGTCAGGTGGGGTGGCTAAGTGAGTTGGTGAGGTGAGTTGGGGTGGCTAAGTGAGGTGGTCAGGTGGGGTGGCTAAGTGAGGTGGTCAGGTGGGGTGGCTAAGTGAGGTGGTCAGGTGGGTTGGGGTGGCTAAGTGAGGTGGTCAGGTGGGGTGGCTAAGTGAGGTGGTGAGGTGAGTTGAGGTGGCTAAGTGAGGTGAGTTGAGGTGGCTAAGTGAGGTGGTCAGGTGGGGTGGCTAAGTGAGGTGGTGAGGTGAGTTGAGGTGGCTAAGTGAGGTGGTCAGGTGGGGTGGCTAAGTGAGGTGGTCAGGTGGGGTGGCTAAGTGAGGTGGTCAGGTGAGTTGGGGTGGCTAAGTGAGGTGGTCAGGTGAGTTGGGGTGGCTAAGTGAGGTGGTCAGATGGGGTGGCTAAGTGAGGGGTTCAAGTGGGTTGGGGTGGCTAAGTGAGGTGGTCAGGTGGGGTGGGTGACTAAGTGAGGTGGTCAGGTGAGTTGAGGTGGCTAAGTGAGGTGGTCAGGTGGGGTGGCTAAGTGAGGTGGTCAGTTGAGTTGAGGTGGCTAAGTGAGGTGGTCAGTTGGGTTGAGGTGGCTAAGTGAGGTGGTCAGTTGGGTTGAGGTGGCTAAGTGAGGTGGTCAGGTGAGTTGAGGTGGCTAAGTGAGGTGGTCAGTTGAGTTGAGGTGGCTAAGTGAGGTAGTCAGGTGGGGTGGCTAAGTGAGGTGGTCAGGTGGGGTGGCTAAGTGAGTTGGTCAGTTGAGTTGAGGTGGCTAAGTGAGGTGGTCAGTTGGGTTGAGGTGGCTAAGTGAGGTGGTCAGTTGAGTTGAGGTGGCTAAGTGAGGTGGTCAGTTGAGTTGAGGTGGCTAAGTGAGGTGGTCAGTTGGGTTGAGGTGGCTAAGTGAGGTGGTCAGTTGGGTTGAGGTGGCTAAGTGAGGTGGTCAGTTGAGTTGAGGTGGCTAAGTGAGGTGGTCAGTTGGGTTGAGGTGGCTAAGTGAGGTGGTCAGTTGGGTTGAGGTGGCTAAGTGAGGTGGTCAGTTGGGTTGAGGTGGCTAAGTGAGGTGGTCAGTTGGGTTGAGGTGGCTAAGTGAGGTGGTCAGTTGAGTTGAGGTGGCTAAGTGAGGTGGTCAGTTGGGTTGAGGTGGCTAAGTGAGGTGGTCAGTTGAGTTGAGGTGGCTAAGTGAGGTGGTCAGTTGGGTTGAGGTGGCTAAGTGAGGTGGTCAGTTGAGTTGAGGTGGCTAAGTGAGGTGGTCAGGTGGGTTCTGGTGGCTAAGTGAGGTGGTCAGGTGGGTTGGGGTGGCTAAGTGAGGTGGTCAGGTGGGGTGGCTAAGTGAGGTGGTCAGGTGGGTTGGCTAAGTGAGGTGGTCAGGTGGGTTCTGGTGGCTAAGTGAGGTGGTCAGGTGGGTTCTGGTGGCTAAGTGAGGTGGTCAGGTGGGGTGGCTAAGTGAGGTGGTCAGGTGGGTTGGCTAAGTGAGGTGGTCAGGTGGGGTGGCTAAGTGAGGTGGTCAGGTGGGTTGGCTAAGTGAGGTGGTCAGATGGGGTGGCTAAGTGAGGTGGTCAGGTGAGTTGGGGTGGCTAAGTGAGGTGGTCAGGTGGGGTGGCTAAGTGAGGTGGTCAGGTGGGGTGGCTAAGTGAGGTGGTCAGGTGGGGTGGCTAAGTGAGGTGGTCAGGTGGGTTCTGGTGGCTAATTGAGGTGGTCAGGTGGGTTGGCTAAGTGAGGTGGTCAGGTGGGGTGGCTAAGTGAGGTGGTCAGGTGGGGTGGCTAAGTCAGGTGGTCAGGTGGGTTCTGGTGGCTAAGTGAGGTGGTCAGTTGAGTTGAGGTGGCTAAGTGAGGTGGTCAGTTGACTTGAGGTGGCTAAGTGAGGTGGTCAGTTGAGTTGAGGTGGCTAAGTGAGGTGGTCAGTTGAGTTGAGGTGGCTAAGTGAGGTGGTCAGGTGGGTTCTGGTGGCTAAGTGAGGTGGTCAGGTGAGTTGAGGTGGCTAAGTGAGGTGGTCAGGTGGGGTGGCTAAGTGAGGTGGTCAGTTGAGTTGAGGTGGCTAAGTGAGGTGGTCAGGTGGGGTGGCTAAGTGAGGTGGTCAGGTGAGTTGGGGTGGCTAAGTGAGGTGGTCAGATGGGGTGGCTAAGTGAGGTGGTCAGGTGGGTTCTGGTGGCTAAGTGAGGTGGTCAGTTGAGTTGATGTGGCTAAGTGAGGTGGTCAGTTGAGTTGAGGTGGCTAAGTGAGGTGGTCAGTTGAGTTGAGGTGGCTAAGTGATGTGGTCAGTTGAGTTGAGGTGGCTAAGTGAGGTGGTCAGGTGGGTTGGGGTGTGTTGGCTAAGTGTGGTGGTCAGATGGGTTGGGGTGGCTAAGTGAGGTGGTCAGGTGGGGTGGCTAAGTGAGGTGGTCAGGTGGGTTGGGGTGGCTAAGTGAGGTGGTCAGTTGGGTTGGGGTGGCTAAGTGAGGTGGTCAGGTGAGTTGAGGTGGCTAAGTGAGGTGGTCAGTTGAGTTGAGGTGGCTAAGTGAGGTGGTCAGTTGGGTTGGGGTGGCTAAGTGAGGTGGTCAGTTGGGTTGGGGTGGCTAAGTGAGGTGGTCAGGTGAGTTGAGGTGGCTAAGTGAGGTGGTCAGTTGAGTTGAGGTGGCTAAGTGAGGTGGTCAGGTGGGGTGGCTAAGTGAGGTGGTCAGGTGGGGTGGCTAAGTGAGGTGTCAGGTGGGGTGGCTAAGTGAGGTGGTCAGGTGGGTTCTGGTGGCTAAGTGAGGTGGTCAGTTGAGTTGAGGTGGCTAAGTGAGGTGGTCAGTTGGGTTGGGGTAGCTAAGTGAGGTGGTCAGGTGAGTTGAGGTGGCTAAGTGAGGTGGTCAGTTGAGTTGGGGTGGCTAAGTGAGGTGGTCAGGTGAGTTGAGGTGGCTAAGTGAGGTGGTCAGTTGAGTTGAGGTGGCTAAGTGAGGTGGTCAGGTGAGTTGAGGTGGCTAAGTGAGGTGGTCAGGTGAGTTGGGGTGGCTAAGTGAGGTGGTCAGGTGGGTTCTGGTGGCTAAGTGAGGTGGTCAGGTGGGGTGGCTAAGTGAGGTGGTCAGGTGGGGTGGCTAAGTGAGGTGGTCAGGTGGGGTGGCTAAGTGAGGTGGTCAGTTGAGTTGAGGTGGCTAAGTGGGGTGGTCAGGTGGGGTGGCTAAGTGAGGTGGTCACGTGGGGTGGGTTGGGTTGGCTAAGTGAGGTGGTTCAGGTGGGTTGGGGTGGGGTGGCTAAGTGAGGTTGTCAGGTGGGGTGGCAAAGTGAGGTGGTCAGGTGAGTTGAGGTGGCTAAGTGAGGTGGTCAGGTGGGGTGGCTAAGTGAGGTGGTCACGTGGGGTGGGTTGGGTTGGCTAAGTGAGGTGGTCAGGTGGGTTGCAGAGGCATAGCGACCCTTCCGGGCGCCCGGTGACAAACTTTAGATTTGCACCCCCCCTTCAAACTTTCGATTTTCCAACCTATTTTGGCGCCCCCTAATGTCGGCGCCACGGGACATATGTCCCCCGTGCCCCCTCCCCCCCCCCGCATCGCTACGCCTCTGGTGGGTTGGAGTGGCTAAGTAAGGTGGTCAGGTAAGTCACACATCTATTTAATCATACTTCACATCACATGATACATCATACGATACATCACACGATACAACACATGATACATCACATGATACATCTCATGATACATCACATGATACATCACATGATGCATCACACGATACATCACACGATATATCACATGATACATCACATGATACATCACATGATACATCACATGATACATCACATGATACATCACATGATACATCATATGATACATCACACGATACATCACACGATACATCACATGACACATCACATGATACATCACATGATACATCACAAATCAAAACACATGTCACATAATACGTCACATCACTTATCAAATCACATGTGACATCACATGATACATCACATGACACATCACATGATACATCACTTGATACAGCACAAATCAAAACACATCTCACATAATACGTCACATCACTTATCAAATCACATGTGACATCACATGTCACAACACGTAACATGTGATATTACATGTGCCATCATTTATCTCATCACATGTCGAATCAGATGTCATTTCACAACAAAAATGCAACAAAATGATTACTTTCACAGGACTCTCTGAATGTTAATTAACAAAAGCATGAACCCCTGCTGTAATTACGTCATCATATGTGAATGTTTAAGCTAGTACTTGCCCTGTAATATGTAACGGTTGTCACATAATTCGAACCTGTGGTTGACAGTCTGTGAACAGCTGCGAAAATTGCTTCTGTTACATCCATGGGTTGAATGTTCCATTAGCTCTGGCACAAGGCTACACACTTTCAAGAGTTGGTTAAGCCATGAAAGCCTGTTAGAATTACCTGAATCGGGGATGACTTTCAGATCTCAGCAAATTATCCACTTGAAAATGACGAATGTTGATGAATGTGAATTCCTGCAGCTAGCAGTTCAGGCTTGACATTCAGCCCACCAACCTGATAACCCAGTCAACTTGACAACCCGATATATGTCACTTCTCTCTGGCTCTCTCCCTTCTCCCATCGAATGATCCTGGGAGCACACTGGGAGAGAGCGACACACTGGGAGAGGGCGACACACTGGGAGAGAGTTCTATCTAAACTAGGCCGTGAGGATCGGATCGAACGCAAACAGTGAGGGCTGCGACAATATTCTGCGACAGGCGACTGGTTGGTTCCAATACACGCGCGCTAAGCAACACACCTAACTCTAACCCAGCACACACGCTACAAGCAGCAAATTTTTTTATGAATTAATTAACATTTTCTGAAATTATTAGGCCGTTTTTATACTTTTGTTACGCACTATTATACGCGCATTATCATGTTTATTTTGGTGCACAATAATTTTTAGTCATGAAACTCTATTGTAATTAAAAACTAAAGTACTGAGAAAAAAATTCATTAAAAACCGTTCCTGTCATTTAGAAGTGCCCGTAATTTCGCTTAGGCGTTTCGATCTAGACTGATGACAGAGGAAGCAAGTTAAATAAAAGCTTGTAAAAAAAAATTCATATTTTTTTTTTCAATAAAAACGTTTTAATAACTAGTTTTTATGTAATATTGCACTAAGAAAGAGAAAATTAATTATACACTACTATGTAAATAACTATAAAGAAGAGCGTTGGTCACTTTAGTATCTATCGGATACCTTTACTAATATTTAGGAAGAGATCCACTCTTTTCTTTATAGTAATTTAAATAGTAGAGTATAATTTATTTTCTACTTTTTAGTGCATTATTACATAAGAGCTTGTTATTAAAACGTTTTTTATTAAATTATTTTTTTAACATTGAGATCTCCACTAAAAATTTTTTTTAAGACGGCCATGCAATCTTCGTAAAATGCGATACGCGAAACGCGAAATGGTGCTGAGAAAAATGCGACAAACAGTGAGACCCAATTTGCGATACAAATTTTCGTTTAATTCTTTTTTGGTTCTTTTTGTTTTTCTAGATTTGCAAGAAGAAAAGTTTTCAACTAAACTTGTATAGATCGATCACGAGTGTGGCAGGCCTTTGTTTTTAAATGTAGATTAAGATCTAAATGTCCTTGCTCCAATGATCACCCACTCAGGTTTTCTAGTTGGGGGGGGGGGGGAATTCCGGCTTAGTTCAAGGTTCACTGTGAGTTCACACCGGATTAGAAATCAGCAGCCCAATAGCATACGTAATAGCATGTTAACACTGCTTTCTGAGAGTGCGAGTATCTATAATCCTTTTTTTTTTAAACAAGTAATTCGAAAATCTTACTTTTGGTCATTATCTAGGTTGCTGGCCTTCTTACCTATGGGAGATGGGCGTTAGAGAAGCGGATACGGGAGATGTAGCCCGCATTTCTTCCATAGAATGTGAAAAATATTAAATATGTAGGCTTTTCTAAAAAAAAATAGTGTAAAATTCAATTAGCGTTGAAACAGAAATAATAATAATGGCCAATATTCTTATATACTTAATAATAAAGTAAACAAGTTTGAAATGTGGTGTTTCGGGCTATATCCAGTGGCGTAGCTACCGTAAACCTAGCGTAAGCAAGGCATGGGGGCCCAGGGGAAAAAAACAGAACAGAGCCCATCGTATTAGCTTGGGAACATTACTGTCATAACATGCGTGATTACATTGTCGTGCAAAACGTTGAGAAAATTAGCCTATAAACAAACTATATTCGTTTTAATGAGCGCCATACACTACGGATACGGAGGGTTACTAAAATCGATTACTAAATCGAATAAGGGGTGTCCTCCAGCGCATCAGCAGTAGTAACGGTTGGCCGGCACGTGATACTCAGTGGCCTTCCAGAGTCAAAGGATCCGTTTATTGCGCGCCCTGCAGTCAGGGGTACTACTTATTTAACGATCAAACAGCAAAAGGGGCGGCTTTCGACGTAAGAATGACACCGACACACAAGAGTATTCTACACTGGGGACACAGACCTCTACGTTCGATGATTAAAACCGAACTAGGGGTTTGCACCGTGTAATCGCCCCTGACATCTAGGCGGTCGCCGAAAGGTGTTCAACCTCACTGTTATGGAGGTAGATTAACGTACACTTAATGCTTTCATACAGTACCCCCAAGAGTGTCTGAGCGGTAGGGTAGACAAACCCGCGCCCCAGCAACAAAGTTCCGAACAAATAGCAGCGGCGTTGTTTACGTGATCGGGGAGGAGATATTGATGTATATGATGGATTTTTAAAATCTCATTGTTTGATGTTATCATTATGATGATGTCAATATGTTATAAAACAAATTGTAGATATGCTATTTAGGTCAGTTACTTGACCATCCTAAGTATCGAACATACAGATGCAGCTAAAATGGATTTAAAAGAAACTTAATAATCATTTTTCAAAATCGAAATCATGAAAAAAAAAAACAATCCAGAAATCTCTTTTTTTGCAATTTGGTGGGGTGTCACCCCTCGCTCCCTAATCTTTTTTTTTTATTTTAACAGGATAAAACATAGTTTTGAAAGTTAATTTTACAATGTTTCGTCATTGTGTCACGCCTAAATGTTGTCATGAGATGCGGACTGCCCCCCCCCCCCCGCCTTGTGACACTACTGCGCTTGGTTACTTAAATTTTAGTTCCCAGAAAGAACCGCAACGGAAAAAAGCGCAACGGAAAAAAGCGCAAAACAAAAAGCGCAACGGAAAAAAAGCGCAAACAAAAAAAAAGGGCACACGGAAAAAAAGCGCAACGGAAAAAAAGTGCAAACGGAAATAAGCGCAAAGAGAAAAAAAGCGCAAACAGAAAAGCGCAAAGAGAAATAAGCGCAAACAGAAAAAAGCGCAAAGAGAAAAAAGCGCACACGGAAAAAAGCGCAAACAGAAAAAAGCACACACAGAAAAAAGCGCAAACAGAAAAAAAGCGCAAACGGAAAAAAGCGCAAACAGAAAAAAGAGCATACAGAAAAAAGCGCAAACAGAATAAAGCGCAAACAGAAAAATGCGCAACCAGAAAAAAACCTACCTACCTACCTATCTACCAACCTACCTACCTACCAACCAACCTACCTACCTACCTACCTACCTGCCTACCTACCTGTCTACCTGCCTACCTACCTACCTGCCTACCTGCCTACCTACCTGCCTACCTGTTTGCCTACCTGCCTGCCTGTCTGGTGGGTAGTTAGGTAGGTGGTTGGGTATTTGTGTAGATGATATAGATTATGCACATTTCCATTTTTCTAGCTTAGTAACAGTGTTACAAACCTCGAAATTTCAAACTGGTTTGGCGTAAAGTTAGTTCATTGATCCTGTTGAGCCCTACATTACATAGTTAATCAGTTTAACAATGTAGATGCCATTGGAGTAGGTGTAAGTCAAAGCCTGATGTTATTATATAACTTCATCTCTCTATGTTTCTTTACAAAAAGGTTATGGAATGTTTTTACTTTCTCGTATATACGAAGTATAGAGAAAGTCTTGTAATCGTGCAAAAAAAAAAAATCGAGATTTTTGCAAATCTCGACGTTTTGCATCTCACTGATACGGAAAAACATAATTTTGCAATCTTGTCCGTATGTCTGTGTGTCTGTGTGTGTGTGTGTGTCCGTGTGTAAACACGATAACTTGAGTACCGTTACAGCTAGGTTGATGAAATTTCATATATAAGTATTTAATCAAAATCGTAGATCCGTATCAACTTTTGAGCGATTTCCGATAACCGGAAGTGGTACTTTTTCTACTTTGAATTTTTCAAAAGCCTATAACTTGAGTACTATTTCAGATAGATAAATGAAATTTCATACGTAAGTAAAAGATCTAATTCTCTACCTTCTATTAAATTTTGAGTCATTTCCGTTGACTGGAAGTAGTACTTTACGCTACTTCCGATTTCTCAAAAAACTAATGTAAATTTTAAAAGTAATAATAATATTGCGCACTATTATGCGCTTTTTTATTTCGCGTTCACTTGGTGTGCAATTAATTTGTCTACGAGATTTTATTCTATTTTTAAAACTTTAAGTATTTAAAATGGATTAAAAATCATGTCTATAGCCCGAGTTCCCATTCCCTGTTATTTTATATAAGAATATTCGAGAAACTTTAGGGGAGATCACTCCCGGTTTATTTAAGGTATTTTACTGAAAATTTAACCGAATGCAAAATGATATAAACAACCATAGCTGTTCGGTTATATAGGCTACATGCAGTGTTTCTTCCAGACTTTTTTCCGGGGGAGAGGGGGGGGGGATTTTCGGTGGGGGGTCAACATTTTTTTCGGGGGGGGGGGGACACTAGTAAAAGTGTATGTTTACTTTATAAATTCCATTTCGTTCGTTCGGGGGGGGGGGGGTGCGGTGAGATGCCTGGAAGAAACTCTGGCTACATGCAGTGGCGGAACTAGAAAAACAGGACCACCCCGCAAAAAAAATTTTTAGCCCCCCCTATATACATATATATAGGCCTATATTTCTAAATGTACATATATATATATATATATATATATATATATATATATATATATATATATATATATATATATATATATATATACAAACGGATTTCGTGTTTGTATATATATATATATATATATGTATATATATATATATATATATATTATATATATATATATATATATATATATATATATATATATATATATATATATATATATATATATATATATATATATATATACAAACACGAAATCCGAACATATGATACTCATTGCTGGCCTGTTCGGGTTATGAACAAAAAAAATGTTTGTTTTTTTAAAATTAAAACAAATTACAACATCATGTCATGTGTGTTAGCGCTTTTGTGTGTTTTGTGAAAATCAGTTTCTTTTTACAAGCTTTTATTTAACTCACTTCCTCGTCATTCTGTCTGTCGTCAGTCTTTATCTCTACTTTAAGACCTTAAAACCTCTGGTCGGTCAAAAGAATATAAACCATGAAAGCTTTGTATAAGTAATGGTGTCTCGTGCTATGTTTATTTTTATGTTTGTTTGTATTTATATTATAAATTTTTAAATACTTTTCCTTTTTATTCAATGCTATTCTTTAGTAAGTACTTTAAAAAAAAATCAGAGAAGTCATTGCTTTTTTTAATA